AAAAAGTTGGAACAGCGGGACAGAAAATAGAGCATGATGTCCTTCGCCGTGCCTGCCGTCACTTCTTCCTTTTAATCGGTCTACGCATTGGCAAAATCACAGATCACAGTGTGGGTAGTATGGTCAGTATGGACCATGATGATACCCGTGGTAATTCTGAATAGTAGGTGAACCGGCATGGCATAACTCAGAATGATTGAAAACAGTTTTTTTAAGTTGATTGTTTTAATCTCGAAGGTTTTTTTTTGTTTCGTGGACTTCCGGTGAATTATTAACTTTAGCGAAAGTATTTGTTTTTTTCCTTGTGTTGATTCTATGAATTTCTAAATAAGTGTAATTATTAAGACTCGCTACCAACATTCATCGATTGGTCGCCGACATCGTCTTAATTCCTCGTCGTTTTCTATTTCACAGGACATGAGGGATATGGACAAGTACTGTTCTTAACCATTTTTTTTTTTTCTTTTTCTTTTTCAATTCTTTGAACGCGTCAAGATTCCGATTTCCGGTCGTGGGCAAATTCGCTCTCTCAACGGGGGATTTTGACGGGGGATTTAGGATTTCGGGGTATTTTTCCAGCAGACATTTGAGTTTTTCTAACATACCTCTGATTGTGGCAATGATCAACTTATCGTTCCGAGCGGACCCCTTTATATTCTATCCATCTAATTCCTTTTTGAATTTTTATTCTTTGATCGGGATCGAACTGGATTTGCCAGAAGGATCAGGTCCTGGATAATAGCCAGTGCCGTTTTTGTGAACTCAGAGAGTCAATAATTGGGCAGTTTACAGCTAAGCCTGTTTTCAGTACAAATCTGGTAGGTGTGGGAACATGGGTTATGCGAAGGGTTTGTCCAATGAAGGTCCAATCGGTCGTGTATTCCTCATCGAACTCCACACTTTTATATGCAATTCTCACTTCCCGCCAGCAAAAATTCTCGATATTTCGTAGTTTTTGTTCTTTTCGGAAGGGATCACTCCTGATACGTCTAGAGCTCCATTGTTTTATCGAGTACACTTTTTCTCTTTTCCTCTCCCCACTCACTTGTTCCTCCCATTCATTCCTTGTCCTTACTCATTCCTTCTACATAATTTCATTCTTCGAAACTCCCATCGATCTTCCATCTTTGGTGGAAGAGACATATGCAGAAGGTAGATTATTGACCGTGAAGCGCTCAAATGAAAGTGAAATTGCCGGAATGGAGGTTTTTTCTGGGATAGTGGACTTTTTTGAGACCCGAAACTTCGCACTTGCTCGATAGCACTCGCCCTCCCTTCAAATTACGGGGTTTAGACACGTTCGTTCAGACGCCACACACAGTGACGACGGCTCAAGTAACTAGGTCGCTGAGTGGTGCACTAATATACACTGCGTTTCATAATTATAGGTCCACCCTCAATTTTTGCTACTCAAAGTTGCTGTGCATTTTTGGGAAATGCCGCTATTACCAATAGTTTCCCCATAACGAAAAACCTTGATACTTGATTTTGGAGAAATCTCGATTCAGAATTATTGAAATATCTTTTTTAGAACGTATTTTCACCGTTTCGCAAATATGACTACACATTACTTGTCGAAAGATTTTATTACAACAAAAAAACGTAAAAAAATTTCAATAATGTGGTGGTCCTCCATTAGTCATAAGAAACACAATAATACGTTTTGGAATGCTGGTAACCAAATTAGCTATTACAATGGGATCGAAATTTGCCTGCGCGCTGATGATCGACGTTTTCAGCTCTTCGGCTGTTCCATTTTGCTTTTCTTTGCTGTGGAACTTTATAACAATTAAGGCCCTGTGATTCTCCATTGGAAACTGATTCATATAACATGGTGGCCAATAGATAACTGCCACATTTTTTCCTGCACTTCCATCTGGCGTGTAAGGACCGGCATGGACAGCTGCGTTATCGTGCGTAAAAATCAAGGTTCGAGAGGGCTGTTGTCGAAAAGATGGTAAAAGTCGCTTTAGAAGGAAGTCGTATAACTATGGAATTCTCGTGAAAGGAAATAAATACGAGCTCTAGCCGCTCAGTCGTTCAAAGGTGCCTCAAACCACAAGGAATTCTCCGCCAAAATTACCTTACTTCGAAACCATCTGCGATTTTCACGGAACCCTCCTGTACCCTCATTTTCCATCAGATCCACTTAGAATAAACTTTTTCACGCCGATTCCAGATCACCCGTAGCATGAAACGAGGAGGTGGAGTCCAAGATCACGAAGGGTCCTGGCAGCCACACCTTCGTTCATTAACTTGAGCCCTTTTCCACCTAGAAATGGAGACGTGCGATCTTGTAGCGCTCAAATAATCTTGGGACGCGCTTCTTCAATCCGCTGAAGATGTCATTGCTCTGCTGGCTTATTCACACACGGTGGTTTTGCTTACGGAAGGCCGCATTTCAGCACGGACTTTGTTCGGACGCCTTATCCAATTCGACAGAAGACGCCCAATTCCTCTTGATTTTCAATGAAACGCTGTCATTATTTACCAAGGCTACTCTTCTTCCCGCACAGACCGGGATTTCGCACATAGTTGCTTATGCATCATGAGCCGGCCGACATGGGAGGCAGTTCTGCTTCTCAGCCATCAAACTTCAGTAAGGGCTCTGGTTTGAGCTTATCACTGGGAAGAGATACGAGTAATACGAGGTATGGCAAACTCGACGTCGACTAAGCTCACATATATCCCCGCTTCCCTCATTCCCTTCACGGATCATGAGAAATGGAAACTTTTTATTAGTGGCCCGATTTTCATGAAACGGTGAAAATTCGTTCTGAAAAAGTTAGTTGGGTTGCTTGAAGGGGGAAACTTTGTCAGAAAAACATTATAAAGGTTTTCCGTGATGAGGAATCTAACGGTGATAGCAGCATTTTCAAAAAATGCACAGCAACTTTGGGGTAGCAAAAATTTAGGGTGGACCTATAATTATGAAACGCAGTGTATACTGATGTCTCTGGAATTGTAGTACTGTAATTAAGTGCTACTGATAAAATGTTCAAGTTGCAACCGGCCGATATTTAACTGGCCAGCGTTAACTTTTACATTTGATGGGGGCCGTCGTAACTGTGGTGTATGATGTGCACCGACGTGCTCTCGTTTCTTGAGAGGAGGGTAGATATCTCATTTTTTTCGGTGGTTATCGGGAAGGGATGTTGTGACATGTGGGTTACACGGCAAAGTGGGTCCCGGGAGATGACATCCTCTCGCTCATTGAATTTGTCCCGCCATTTGGCCTTCGCATCGCTACGGGGCGCATTAATTAGTTGCCAATCTTGTCAGTCAGGAGGCCTCGACTCTATGCAGCCTGCTAGTCATTCTGTAAACAGCCTATCAATGCACTTCTGCTCGGATTTTGGCTAGCTAGATCGTGCTGCGAGTCCGAGGATTTGAGTTGACGTGAATGCTTTATCTTTGCTGTTATTCTATTCGGAACCACAGGCGAAAGGCAATATGGTTCACGGTTCAAATGAGTCAGGAAGGTTGCAAGTTGGTTCCTCAAACGCTCTAGTAGTATTACTTAGACTTGTTTGGCTTTGCTTCGTTTTCTTTATTAGTTTTACATAGAGAAGTAGTTGTCTAAGCTAATTATGATGCTAAATGTAAACATCCACGTTGTTTAGGAAAAACAAAGTGAGCGATGACGTTGCCTCAGATGACGAAGCTCCAAGTGTTGTTGTCCACGAGCCATGGGAAGACAGCTCCTAGCGCCGTGGAGAGAAAAGATTTCCGCTTGTGGAGATTAGCCTGTGAGCTGAAGCTGACTCCTGTGACACTGAGCCAACCAGCCGGGCTGAGTTCTCCACAGAGATCCTTTTCTTCATGGAATACTGTGACTGCCGATCGATACCCATGCTCTTCTCAACATCACCGCTGCTACTGCTGCTGCTCAATCAAACGTGTGTGATATACGTGGATTCGTAATAAAAATTTATTTGCACTTTTGAATTTCAAAAGATAGGAATAATGACGTGTTATCAATGGAAAACAACTGGTGATTCGGCTGATAAGGCGTGGCACTGGTTGCTAGGCGAAACTGAAATTAAGAGTAGATTACGGTAGGAACTACCCTCATTACCGTATACCTGACCTCATGTGAAGAATGTAAATGACTTACAAACGATGTCAATCCAACGGATATTTACACGTGTGCTTAATCGGACTCTCCGGCCATCAACTCCCAGAACTCTGAAATGAGGTGATTTTGGTTTAGAGCTTCTGGGCATAAACTGAGTACTCCAAGTACTACCAAATAGTACATATTTAAAGCATAAGGATCCTATCAGCTACGATAAGTACCTTCAAACTCGATCTTTCCCGAACCATCCTCATCGATCTCGTCTACGGCCTCTTCCAGTTGTTGATCGGTCAAGTCATCGGCGATCTCGTGCAATAGGGCCTTCAACGTCGGCCGAGAAATGTAACCATTTCCCTGAAACGGTAACGACTGTGATAGTGTTTTCGGGCTACGGTAGATCTATTGTGTTCTTCAGTCATCACTGCTGAATCCATGGAAGCCTTCTATTCCTGGGAGCTTTCCTCTGACGTGAAAGCCGGGAACAGCTGTCGTCAGCTGCTACCTTGAGCTCACTATGTCTGCGATTTTTCGATTCCACGCATCTGCTACGTCACACCAGTGCGACAAAAGGTTTGTCATATTCTAGGCGCGACTGGACTTGTCAAATGTGTCTACGGCAATCAGCGTCTTAATCATACCTGCCTTACTTGTAACCCCTGCTGTTTCTGATGGTACTAAAACCATGGTGCTAAGTTTCAAGGCCGGCTGAGTCAAGCGTGGGCGTTTTATTTTGAGATCATGGCTAGAGTGTATTCGGAGGATGGGGGAGAAGAAAGACCTTCGAGAAAATAGAAAATTGTCCCAGAATTTGAAATTCTGAAAAGTTCAATTTTTGCCGCTTTGACACTTATCTGTACTCTGCCCAACCCGGACTTCTGGAGTAGTGGGCGGGCTGGATCTGTGTCATCTGAACCAGGTACAATGGTTTTATTGATACGAAATTAAAGATTCTAGCTGGGGAGCAATCCATGAATATTTAGAAATCGGCCAGAACGCACTGTTGAACTAGG